TTTCTACATTATAACTCAATTATGTTTTGTACTTGCTCTTGGTTACTCGAATTGCATTTCATGAACGCAGAATAATTTGCGAACGCATAAATCACCGATTTCAAACTTTTTGCATTTCGTAAATATTGATAGTGACCAATCTGTTTGTATTTCAAAAAATTGTAACATGTTCCAATTATTAAAATTAAATTAAAAAGAGAATAGTAAATAACTTAGTGTGTATTGCAGTTCATGTCATAAATGCGAGAATGCTGTATGTAAATGATATGCAAATTGATATGCAAATTTATGCTAATTAGGCCGCCCACCAGCTAATTTGGATTGTGGAGAACACTGTGGTGACATGCTTTGCATTACAAGTTCTACAAATGATTTATGCACTTCTACTGAAGATGGTTTTTAGATCTTCTTTTACCAATAAAAAAAATTTTTGTTTGTAGAAAATAAATGAACTTACCAAGCAGTTTGCTGACAAAAGGTTTGGTTTTAAATTGTTCAAAATCATCAATATGTTCTCCAGTACCGATGAAGATGATGGGACTTTTGGTTGCAGCAACACTGTAAAACAATAAATAGATGAGCGCTAAGATAATGCAATGGGTAATAACTGGTAGCTATATTTACGTACCGCACATAAAAAGTAAACACACATAAACCATCACTGTGTTTGTGGAGTGCACACATTTATGTTTCATATAGTGATATGGTTTAATTCTCCAAGACTGACATACTGATGGAACCAATGTTCTCATATATGTGGTGGTGACTGATATGTTCACATATTTGAATCATAACTAAATGGAATGAATAAACATCACTGATTGAGTGCAAATGAAAGATGAGTAAATAATACACAGTCAACCTAAGAAGAAGAAGGTATGCTAACCAATATAATCAATAGGAAAACATGGGAGCTTGAGTGAATTGCTTACAACAGTACAACAGTCAGTATAATGAGCTAGGGGTATGAGTTGGACAAGTCAAGACATGAGCATTTACTTACGCACTAAGGGCACCACCTCCCTTGGCATGACCATCTAATTTGGTGATGATAACTGACGCCACATCTACTTTCTCCTTAAACGCCCTGGCCTGTGATTCACAAGCTTGACCAATCGTGGCATCCATGACGTATATTACATTGTCTGGGCTCTGAAGAAAAAAAAATAATGAAATACTAATGAATGATGAATACATCAATTCATAACACAATGATCCTTTATGATAAGCTCAGTGATACCTAATATTGAATAATATAGAATTATAAATTCTCACAAATAAGGACAAATAGCATGTACATGGCAAGTCTGGAGATGCATGTAATACACAAGTTAACAAAACTATCACTATGTGATTTGTATTCTATCACCAGTTCTTGCCTTGATGGCAGCATTACATGTATTATATTTCAAGCGCTTCTCACTGAGCAAGATAGGAATGAAGCCGTGAGGCCAGAATTCCACACAGATTTTTCAAGAGTAATTCCAAAGGTGGAGAGCAGATTTCTCTAAGTAAAGATAGAAGATTATTTAAACATGCATAGCATGTCAAGTATAAATTTAAAAAAAAACATAATGAACTAAATCAGATGAGAAAATCAGGTCAAACTTTGCTGTCTGTAACAACACCACCAATGGCAAGTTTGAGCAAAATGTCATTCTGCAATTTCCCAAAGATAAAGAGTTCCTTAGGACCCCCTCACCCATAACTCTAATCCTAACCCTGCCCTTACAGTACCCCTCCTACATTACAATTGTATATACCCCTCTTTGGGACACTTATAATTAATTTGAGGAGCATAATAAATTACATTGTGGGGGTGGAGTTTTAGGGTTAGGGTTCAGGTTAGGAGTGAGGGAGCCTTAAAGAACTTTTTCCCTCCCAAAAACAATTTTACAAGTGGTGACTACATAAAGCAAGCAAAATATTGAACACGACTTACTGTAACATTTGATACTTGTAACATTTCCTCAAATAGAGAATCTTCTTGTTTGTGTCTACCACTAGTATCTACTATTATAATCTCAAAGTTTTCTTTCTTAAACTTGTCTACGCCTTCAGCTGCAATAACCACTGGGTCCATTTCTGTATAACTGTTGGGTGAGAATAAATACACCATGAGGACAACATATGATTTAACAGTAAACAGTGGCACTTAGGAATATTTAATCTCTACAATTTTGACACTTTCAGTAATCTGTTACTCTTTATGTTATTTTACATGCTTGCACTAAGAGTCTGGCATGAACTCAGAAGGCATGCTACAAGTTATGCTCCAGGTGAATTTACCAAGTTTACAAACGTTTTGATTGCCATGGTTACTAGAAGTACATTACACATACATGTAGATCTTACAACAAGTATATTGCATGCTTACCTGCCATAAAAGGGTATTCTGGCTTTTGTGGCGTTCTGTTTTAATTGATCAAAGGCACCTATAATAAAAAGAAGAAGAAGAATAGGATAAGTAACCAAAAAACATTTTACACTGTAGAATTATTAAATTTTGTGATTTTTGGCGAGATGAATGTCAAACATACAAAAATAGTATTTTATTTTCACTGAATCATCCTTTTAGTGAAAATAACAAAAATAATTTCCAAGCGACAATAAAGAATATTACAGTAATCCTACCTGCTCTGAATGTGTCTGCACATATGAGACACGTCTTCCATCCTTTCTTCTGGTAATGGTAAGCAAGCTGTGAATGAAGTCAAGGAGTAAAATGAAGCATGATATGACAGTAAATAAATTTAACAAGCAGTGATACACAAGACGGCTTACCTTGTTCTGACTCATCTCAATGAATTAATACTACTACAATGTACACCAGCAAGAATAATACAAAACAAGTTAATACCTTTGTACATGTTGTTGTCTTTCCACTACCTTGTAAACCAACAAACATGATAACATTAGGTTTGCCTTTCACTGGTGTCCATGCTTTCACTCCCGGATCAACCAACTACAGGGATAACAAATTAGTTTGTCAGGGTTACATGTCCTGTACCAGTGAACAAATACTTTACAAGTCTTAGAATCAAATTGAAAATGAATTACACGCAATTAAAATGATGTTAATATAACTGATTTCACAGTACCGTACAAGTACTTTATAAAATTCACATAAATGCTTATCCTGTGACAACCACCTTCCAACAACTTATCAGTGTGCTTGTTGACTTCAAGCTGGGTGTATCATTAATATCACTAAATCTCTGAAATTGTGCAATTTTATACTCATTTCAGAATTATCTTAATAGCCCAAGTTATTTTGAATATTTCCCAAAGCAAAATGATCAACAATGTGAAGTGGAGTAACTAAAATGTTGTTACCAATCATGTTAATTTGACATAATCTATTGCTACATGGTTGAATCATATTCTCTGTGCATATTAAACTCATGTACATATGAATGTTACCATGAGATCACTGTAAACTACATGTTTGCTTACTTTTACAAGTTCTTTGAAGACAGCTGACTGGATCATTCTTCTTTTGTTCAAACCGGCAGCCATCTCATCAAAATCGATGACCGATCTCACATTTTCCCTAAGTTTTTTGACTTGCTTGATATTCACATCTGCTTCAAGCAATGCCCTACAGATTTCACTCAGCATAGAATTCAACACCTAGCAATAAAGAAAGTACTATAATTAAATGTCTGTTTCAGTCAAAAATGAGATCATATTGTAATAATAATAATAATATGAACAACCCGCAGTGCTATATTCGAAGAGTCGATGCTATGCAAGACCAATCATCACATATTGCATGTGGCGATATTTCGTCTTGTTTTACGAACAAAACTCAGCTGGTATGTAGCGTAGAAATCCATGGCCCCGGAACATATCTATCACTTTACATTGTTATGTCATATTGTAAGAAGTAACTTTCCACTGACTTCCATGTGATAATAGACAAGAATGGCCAATTATGGTGATGCAGGACGATTGATTTCTTCCAAATCACATTAGTCATTTGTCCCAAGTCGATTCATCCCACAAGTTTATTCGTCCCGAAATCAATTCGTCCTGAAGTTGATTACACATAAAACATAAATAAAAATAACGCAATATATTTATTATTTTGTAATTGTTTTTCAATGTTTTTTTTTTTTACAGTTCACATGTAATAGACTGAGCTTATTTGAAAGTGTTATTAGAGTTATTAGTTAAATAATACAAATAAGCCATACTTGCAATGTACGTGTTATTAGTTTATACATATATTAATATGGTTGTGCTGGGTAGTCGTACTTTGCAAGCATGTCAGTAACTATATACAGTTAGTCGCACACACATGAATAGGGATAAATCGACTTGTGGGACAAATGTGAAATGGGACGAATTGACTGTGAATCTGTGATTCATATAGGCATGCCATGGTATAGGGTAGTATCTACAAAACTGCAGCTAAGTGGTAGAATGACAAAATGGTTTTCATACATGTATAGTTACTTCATTCTTATTTAGACTACCATAAATCCCCAGAGAATTAAACATGCACAAATTTCAGTTCCCGGGTGTAAAAAACCATTATGATTTGTAATACAGGATGTGTTTTAGAATCCACACTCGTGTTGTATTTTATCCTCAGGTAAATAGTTTGTGTGGGATTGGGAACGTAGAATTTCAAGAAAAAATCTACAAATAAATTATTATCAAAGCATACAATGAGTATACCATGGAAGGTACTACCAGTATTTAAATTCTATCCCTATAATACCATCATGGTCACAAATTAAATGTGCAACTTATTTCACGCTAAAGAAGCAATGCATCAAACCATTTATGGTAAATTTTTCATATTTACTCACATTCGTGTGATTATTACGGTGGTCTAGCAATAAACATAATAATATTTATTCTTTAGTCTTGTAGCTAAAGCACGAAAGACTTTGTGACAAATACATACTCTGTCACTGGTTAAAGCAATGCAGGAACGGACTTAGCCGTGGTTTCACGTCGTTTTGGGGCCGGGTGATCATATGCTTTGTTTCCCGCTCTGGGCAATGACGCTACCGCGTCTATCGAAATAGCATAGGACCTATCCGGACAAAAAACGACGCTAAACATCTATGACGAACTTTCCATATGGAAAATATACATATATCATTTACACAAGATACATTAAGTGTTACCCACATCTTCGTTAATGACCGTCGCATTACTAAGCGACCGGAGAGCGGTTGTGATTTTTCTTCCAAGATCCGCCAAAACCATGTTGACTGTAAAGTTAGTTCTTCTTCAAAAACAGTCCTTCGTGACCACTTGGTCAAGGAGATTACGGTGAGATACGTGGCTTATAGCAAGCAAGCAGCAGCGTCAAGTCTATATGTAAAACTAGCACTATGACACATCAAACTCAAGGATCTGTAAATTTTCCAATGTTATATATCTAGCGACTATCCACAATGCATATTAATTAAAGCAACCACGTCAATTAAAGTTGGTGTAGGGGTCTTTTAAATATACACACAACGTTTTGCTAAGAAAAGTGAAAATCAAAATGGCGACGATAGTCTTGTCCTAAAATAATTCTTTTGCAAGCAAATTAATCAATATAAAACCACATTTAATTCATTTTTTTTATAAATTTCACAAATATTATTTACTATTAATGAACTAATTAATGAAATATTCAAAACAAATAATGCAAAATAGGCAGAAAGTTCTCTTGTAAACAAACCATCTCGTACGAGGCTGTGTTGGTGGGTTCATGAACCCGGAAGCCTTTTTACGTGTTTACGCGATCTAATTCACGTGTGATTGTTTTTATCTGTGACAGCTGTAAATTCTTACAATTGTAGCATAATGAAAAGGATAGTTATACTTCCTGGCAACGGTGGAGGCAGTGTAGAAACATCAAACTGGTATTCCTGGGCGAGGGATAGGTTCCAAGAGGTAGGATTTATAGAATAAACTGAATAATATGCCCAGCCCAGCAAAAATAGTTGCGTTCATCGAACCGTGAAGGCTACCCCCATGATTGCATGCATGTTGGCACGCCATACTGTATATATCTTTACTTGGTTAGAATGTAATCACACGTGTATGTTACTTTTCATTGTAGTTAAACGACACCGAGGTTATCCTTAGAGATATGCCCGATCCTGGTGAGTGTTATATTTAAGGGAGGTCCGAACCCTTCACACTACTGAACATATGTACAATGCATTGCGGGGTTTAACTACCCATTGAATACAATTGAAACAGGCATTTTCAGTACATGTCAATGAACAGCAGTGAAGAAATAATTTTACCATAGAAGACAATGTGAAAATAAAAAATGCAACATTTGACATTTTTCAGGCTTTTTTTTTTTAACATTTCCCATTTACTGTACCTTGATGACATGAACCCATGATAGTGAAAGTATAAAAAAAAAACTGTAGAAATTTATTCATAAATATATGTAAATACCAGCCCTGAACCTTCATTCAAATATGTAACTGTGTAACTCAAGAGCTCAACATTCCAATATTGGGTATGAATGCCTTAAATAATATCTGAATGTGAGGTAGTGTCTGTGATTGCCTACTTATTCAAATTGAGCTATTTTCTGATTGGATAACATTGACTTATTTAGTACTATTAATTTATACTCGCTGTGCTGCCACATCATTATTGTTGGATTGGTCAACTGGATTTAAATAGTTATTTTGAATTTCTCATATAACCAGACACTTTGCAATTGGCGACTTTCGTGATCAATGACATTTGCATAATATTTGTTTACAATTTATAGACCATTGATATCTGGTTTTGCAAATCTAATCCACTAATCAGAGATACTTTTATTGACTTTGCATGATGGCAGTGTCACAGCTTTTCAATTCAGATACATTTTTACCAAATCCCAAATCATTGGAGATAATAATGTTTACTTTGAATGTGTACTAAGTTTGCATTTGTAATATGGGATTGTAGGAATTTGCTTTTTTTGGCAAATTTATTGTGTATTTACATTTTCTCTAATTGTATAGTCTTCAGTGGTTTTTCTTCTTTTTTTCATGTGTTTATTTTTGTGTGTCTTTGAGTAAAGCATCATAAATATTTCTACAACACTCGCTAAGCAGGAAGACTATATTTGGTTTGTACTAGGAGTTGGAGACTCCTTATACAAGAGTCGTTCAAATAATGCACACACTCGCTGTAAAAGAACCATCTGATTTAAGCAACCTGTATTTTTGAAAATCAAGTTTTATTGCCCTTGTATTTTCAAGCGAAAAAAAAAATGGAAGATTTTTCACCCAAACTTCTATGAAAAACAGCGGTTAGATAATTTATGTATTGAGATGCTTGGAGGACCAAAATTCAGGATGAAAATCATTCTGATGCCAAAAATTGGATGTTAATAGCTAAAGAACTGCATTTAAAAAGATATTATAGACAAAAACGTTCAAAATGTCTATGCTTTTTTAGTCATGTACAGTAAAAATCATGTATATGAGTATATATGTAATGAGTTATTTTTGTGTGGAAATGATTAAAATTGTACAAAACTCATTTTTTTCTTTACATCAAATGACTTCCATCACAAACATAACAAAATATTTCAATATATGTTTTTTGGTGTTTGAGTAGTCCTCATTTTGTTATATCTCACTTGAATTATAATTTCCAGAAATTGCACGAGAGAAATATTGGATACCGTTCATGCACAATGAATTGAAGTGTGATGAGAACACGGTTATTATTGGTCACAGTTCTGGTGCTGAAGCTGCCAAAAGGCAAGTAAATAACAGTTGAAATTAGCAATACTAGAAGTTGATATCCAATAGGCAGTCATACTTGTTTTTTTCATTTTATTCATATATATGCATCATGAGATAAAATACTGTTGTTGTTCCTTGATTTAGTTACTAAATATACATATATATATATACATATATATGTATATGATTTTGTTAATAAAAACAACTACGGTACTGTTATGGGTAATATTGTCAAAGGTGATTATTAGCTAGTGTAAATCCGTAAGCATAATTTTTGTTATCTGACATTTGCATGCTGGTTTTCATAAATGTAAACAAATGATGCCTGTAGACGCCATGTTAACTTTTGAGTTTGTAAAAGAGCAAATGCAGTATTGTATTATTATAAATTATACAGCTTCAGATATGCAGATGGCTTTCAATTATCAACTATGAAACTTCCATATTCATATTTTTGCATTATATTTAAATTATCCCACAGCATGATATAACTGTTCAGGTTTGGGTGAAAATTCAGCTTAAATTTTAAAATGAATACTACTGTAAGTACGGTATATCATTAACCATTGCATGATGTACATACCTTAACTTTACTCCACACTCCGTCTACTCTACCAGGTATGCAGAGAAATACAAAGTTCATGGCATAGTTCTGGTATCTTCTTGTGTAACTGATCTTGGTGATGACACAGAGAAAGAAAGCGGTAAGTCTGCTGTCACTGAGTAGGTACAATGTACTTTATTTTTCTGGGAAACCAAATTTAAATTTTTTTTGATGAAATTTTTGTGGTTTTGATCATTTCATGTGGGGTTACAATTATTCATCCTGAACCACATAGTGTATAGGTGAAGGATACCCCCTAAGTTAGTGTAACCTACCAAACTATGATGCTAAAATTTTTAGGTATTTAAATTTAGCTGATTTTCAAACATTTGGTTGAAGGGGAAGTCTGGGCTAACAGCAAGATACTTGCAGATAAAAGCGTTCCACAAGTGCAGGGCACTTAACTTAACTTCTATTCTATATCACTTTTTATTCTCTAAACTTTCAACTTTTTAATTACCATACTGTAAAACCATTTATTTTTGCTGACATTTCATTTTAATATTTTCAGCATATTCCCTGTGTTTTTATTTCAAAAATTTGTCAAGGTAACAATGAGTTGTATTGTTATTTTACATGTTCATGTAGATTTAATTTAGCTGATTTTACTTACATGTATCAGTGAAAATAGCAAAATTAAAATCCTGTGAGTAATTAATGTTGTCCACCATTTTAATTGTCAAAGCAAGGAATTACAGGTAAAATATGACTTCACAACAATGATTTCATCCATAAATTGAGAAATGCTGATTTGAATTACCCGTGGTAGTTAATATTTTTAGTGTTCAGATTACTTGTGTATATAATTATAATAATGGAAATTAGAATGTTACAAAGACACAAACGGGCTGCATATAGGTCAATATACATATAAAACAGATGGGAACACGATAATTGTGATGTTTAGATAAGACAACAATAGAGTTTTTTTATTATTTCTAATACATGTAAAACATTTACTTTAGGTTACTATTCCAGACCTTGGGAGTGGAAGAAAATCAAAGAGAACACTGAGTGGATAATACAGTTTGGTTCAACTGATGATCCATTCATCCCATGGCAAGAACAGCAAGAAATTGTCAACCAGCTGTCACCAGAACTCTACAAGTACACTAACAAGGGACATTTTATGACTTCTGTTTTTCCAGAGTTAATCAAAGCCGTTAAGAAGCGACTTGAGTGTGGTTACTAGGACATTAGTGATGTCACTCAAGAGAAAATATAAAACTTAAACCATATTAAATTGAGCCAATCAAAATTAAGAAAATCAATATGTATTTTGCATATTTGAAAGCCAATTACTTAGCCATGAATCGTTTCGAATTAATTAACAATGTTGTTGCACACTCCTTTGCAGATTTAAGACTACATTTAAATTCATGACTTTTATTTTGTTGGATAGCATAGCAGGGTCTATATTACTGTGTATCAAAATGGCATTATTTACAGTTTTTTTAGAATAATCTATAGGCATATATTCTGATTTAGAACAAAGTTGAATATTATAGAAAATTTTTGTAAAAGTGAAAATATTTGTACACACATTATCATGGTCAGTTAATGATTGAAAATAGATCTAATTCTGACATCTCAACCAGATGAAGATGCAATGAATTTACTTGTACTATGGTTGGAGATATAGTTATAAATTTGGGAGTGTTAGTGACACTTCCCTGTTGGTCTGTGCCCTGATTTCATTACTGTTATCAATGAGCTTCCCTGTCAGTCTTAGCCCTGATTTCAGGATTGCACTGCCCTGTGGTCCTCAGTGATGAGTAAAGGAAATCCCAACTAAAAGTCCTGAAATCGTGACTAGGATGAGGAAAGCCTTTAAAATATATTTATTGTCTATCCACAGCTGTTTAAAATATACATATATGAGGGTGATATACAGTGCAATTGTAAACCTGTCAAAACTGAACACTTTTTAGTCCCTTCTGTTTTTCATTTAGATTAATCAACTTTCTGTCTTAATTCTTTTAGTCTTTTGATATAGACAATATCTCAAATGATCCTGCCAAATATTTTAATTTACTTTCTTTTAAATTTGGCATTGAATTGTATATGAGCTTACAAACCAAATTTTATTTAATATTTTATTTGTTAGACCATCAACTTGTTTTAATTGGCAGACAGTAAGAATACACTGTTATCTGATTGGTCAATATTATCTGACAGGTGATTATAGAATACTGCCAGCTTTAATGTTACAAAACCCACCATAATAACAGATTTTTGTTTATATGTACTTAAAAATTTTACAGAAAGACAGCTTTTAAAATTCAATGCAATAAAGTATTAAAAATAAGTTTGTGCCTCAAATAAATTAAGTTCTGTGTGACTGTGTATTATTTTTTGGAGTAAGTACCACTGGATCATCTGTTAAAATGTCTGAATGGAACAAGTATGTCTGTGTTTGAAGGAATACATCTGAGCTGACATTGAAGGGTGTGAAATAGAATATGCATCTATAATCAAATATGCCATTTATTAATTTAGTAAAATAGAAGAAATTGTGACATCATAATGTAAATATATAGAATTAAAAAAATAGGACCCAGTTGTTGTATCTGACGGTAAATTGAACATATGCAGACTATGATTAATTTTTCAATTTCACGCCAGAGCGGGTATTAATTATTGGCTTTGTGTGTGTTGCTTGAAGTACCGTAAATTGTAATCCATAAAAAGCTGGGGGAAATGGTGTGGTGGTAATCGACAGTGGAGGCATTTTTTTTTCTTGGTTTTATAGTGGGAGGACACTTTAGGAATGACGAAGTGAAAGGAGAACTGGCAGTTAACAATATACCCCAAATATTGTAATCGTGAGCAATGTGAAACGGTCTTTTGAAATATCATACACAACAGCATGAAAAGGCGTTATTTGGCTGCATCTGTTTCAACGACATAGGGCGTGACTGAGATTACGAATAAAAACGTTTTCGGAAACTGGTAGATTCTCAGACTAATAAGTCCGATCCATCCATCAAGACGATTCGTTTATGTGTTCGACAGTGGACAATTTTCATTCCATTGATTCTACATAGCTTTACATTTGTTATCAATTTGCACACAAATTTCCGGAAATGACATCATTTTTCTCGTCCCGGAAATGTTTCCCTTTCGCCAAAAAATGCATTTTTCTCATTTTGCAGAACGGAATTTTCTTCAAACAGGGTCGATGTTCTGAGTTCAGGCGTGATTTCAGTGCCCCTGTGATTAAATACTAAATCAAAGTTACCTTTCTGATACAATATGAGTAAATATATGGATATATGCAAATTAGGTCTGTAGTAGGTATTATTTAATTTTAACATTTAATAACCATACTTAATAGCCATTTCAGTATTAAATGGATTAAAAAATACGAGACAATTCATAAAAAAAAACTTTGATATGCTGATGACGCATTACTTTTATCTACTGGACACGGAGTGATTTTGAAGGTAATTCATAATTATAGTCGTATACCAGTAGCTCAGAATGTATGGTTTAAAATATGTAAATTTTATTAAAATGTTATGCTGACTCCATATACTCAAGTGGTGCAGGCACCATCTAGCTTGTAAGTGACGAAGCAAGGGACATTTTACAATTGTTTCATGAGTTGAAGTAAAGAATGACCTGTCAGGTTCTGCCTACAAACCGATACATGTATGAGGTGCCGATTGTAGACAGTGTGCATTGTCTGGAGGTCTGAAGGCAGCGAGCGCTGCTGTTAACATCAAAGACGGAGACGATTCTGAGACGGTTGCCCTGCCTAGCAATCTTACCGGTAAATAAAGCTGACGTATCTACACCCCCTAATTTGTTTTTCGTTTTTAATAAATAAATTTACTTTCTTTACTTGAATTGTTGTCGAGAATTTTTTTTACGATATAACCTTCATTTGCAAGTAAATTTATTTCAGCAATTTCATCCAAATATAACTAAATTTGTATAATTCTGAAGGTGGTGATTTATAAAAATTATTAAAAAGGGATGACAAATAGTTCACAGGCAATAATGTGTCCAGGTTCGCCTCGTAATTTATCTTTCCTTAGATCCTCCTACTTCTCACCCAATATGATGGCGCTGCAGGGGATTCATTATTGTGTCATATCGCTCGTACGGACACCCATCATGGGCGTTGTCAGGATTCCCACGGGTGACGCTTGTATTGAAACAATATCAAGCGTATCTTCACATTGCTATCAACAAGCGTGGTTTCTAAAACAATATCCGCGTCGCTTTTAGCAAGTATGTGGTATATGGGCAGATGACAGTGTATGGTATCACGTGTAATAATATAATTCGTAAAACATTATCACCTGCGACAAATCAGCCTGTAAAGCATTTACCCTCGATGTGGAGGTGCTAAAGTCACTTTTGATTCATATGATGTATCAATTTGGATCACATGATTTACCTTATAAAAATATATGTTACTTTAAAGAGAGATAGATTAGACTTAGAGAGACTCGGACAGACTCAGACATAGACACAGGACCTAGTCCACTTGTTTGCTCCCTGGGCTTGGCCATCGCCCTGGGATAACCATTGTAATCTATGCTCCGGCTCGGCTTCGTCCTCCTGATGTAACCATCCGAATAAAGATCACCGGTTCATACCACTCTGCGTGACAGTCCAAATTCTCTATTGACAATTGTGTAAATAATACCATTGTGTTTTAGTTATCTTGTTATTTGCGATTAATAATACAGAATCGAGTATTTCCAATTTCATTGTTAAATAAATTCAAATAAGCGTATTGAATGTAAATAATGTGAGTATTAAAATGTATAATTACTAATCGACGTGACTGCTATAACATCATGTGCAAACAATGGACGTTGGTGGCGTTTTCACGATTTGTATGCATTTGAAGATTTCAAAATTGTCATAAATAAATATTACATGCCAGACTTGTACATAGTCTTTGTATACAAATAATTCGAATATAGATATGGTTTACAAATTTTGCTATTTTTGCATACTCGGTGCGACTGAAATATACGTTGATCACGGTGTTTATTCAATGCGACACGATTGTCCGGCGGGGAGCCTACTCCCATTGCTGAAGTAAAAGAGTAAGCACTACTGTTTGGACCCCCATTTTCACGGTCGAGCCGATCATTTTGACCTTCACTATTTTTGCCAGTTTTATCCAAAAACCACCCGACATCGATAATTGTTTGTATAAATAAGTCAAAAACATGAACCCCCTTAAGTTTTCAACTGTGGTCATGGTTATTTTCACATTCTATATAAATTGTTAGTGAATTATTTAATTTCATGTATATAATAATAATAATACTAATAATACATTAGTTTAGCTGCATGTTGATTGATATATAATATTTCCCATACTAAACATATCTACTAATTTAGTAACTAGTGTTAATTATATGTATATAGTACTTTTACAGTCCCAATATATTAATTTATAGTAAAAGTTGTATTATGATTATTTAAAAATAAATAATTTGTGCAATTTCGGCATTCCCATCGTGTCTCCTTGGAAGGAAAAGATGTATAATAATAATGTTATTACGAGAATACCTCAAAGTATGCACTCAGACAGTACGCCGCGCATCGACCTCCAGCTGTACGCCAGCTGTACTGTCTCCGTGCATACTTTGAGGTATCTTCTTAATAACCTTCTAATATTACAAAGATAATAAAATATAGAAAAAATAAAAAAAATACACGCCGTACAATATATCAGACAGATTGCAATTAGCCTGAGTGCAATTACGTCTGTGTGTCATTTTGGCTTTTCAGGCCTACTGCATAACGCTGCCCAGTTGGTTAATGTTTAACAAGCTCAATGGTATAGCACGCCGAGCTGCATGATGTTTGGAAACTATTTTTAGCACATCACCTGGGGTTGTGGGTAAAATCGTCACGTCCATCATAATAACATAGCGGCCATAGTTTGCTGTTCCGCTATTGTTAAGAGCGTCGTCTGAGTTCCGTAAGTTCTGATCAGGCCTCGACTGACTGTGAAAACAGATTCCAACATTAGGGAAATCGCCATGGAGAATGGAAAGAAAAGCGACGCAGCAAATCCTGGCAAGGATACAAAATACACAAAAGTTAGCGTTGACTTTGAACCGGAGAGCGACATAGAGCCAAATGTGACGAATCTGTCATTGATAACAGTCAAGATGAACAATATTAGTCGGCGAAACACCGTTCTACTCGGTCTAGGATTTTTTTCTTTCTTTATCGGCGCAGTGGTCATCGGTACGACAATTGCAGCGATCACATACAACAGTAGAGAACTAGATGTG